GCTAAACTGTTTTTTTTTAAATCTCAAAACTGAACATATGAATCCAATTATAATATCAGAAGGTTACAAATCAATTATATATTCAGATAAATATATATATTCAAACCACACAAATTACTCATACGCTTCATACTAAAACACTAAACACTTTTACAGCTACATAAATAGTAAAATACAATTAAAAATATGAAAAACCTATTTAGTTCACTCACCCCACAGCCATGGTGTGGAGGTTTCCTTCACTTTTTTCCTCTATTATCAACATTCTGAATTTCCAGTATTCTAAAATAATATAAATAGCCCTAATAATTATGAATTAAATGGCAATTTATGGAAAACCAACAAACAAATGGAAAACCAAGTTTATGTTCCTATCATTCAATGACCTTGAAATTATTCAGTGACGTAAGTCAACTACATTCAAAAACAAGAATAAAAGTTACTAGACAATTAGTTTTACAAAATTATATATATGAGAAAACTATTACAAAAGAATGTTATAAAACTTAATATTTAAGCTTACCTGTCAAAAATCTTATGATTTCCCACCTCCCAATAAAAGTTAATATGTCTGCTTTGTGTGCTGGTCAGGAACGGAGTGCCAAAACTGTCACTAAAGATTATTAATACCCCCACAATGATGCTTTGTTGAAAGAAATGTGATTTTCAGATTCTGACCTTAGACCCCATTTGCTTAAAATGTGCATTTCCAAATTCTTTTTCAGAAATCCTGCTGACTAGATTGAAATTACCGACTGTCAGACAGTCAAGCAGACAACTAGGAAGAATCCAGCACAAGCCTTCTACTGTTGCGGTTTATAATAATTAACTTAGCACAATGTAGTTACTAAACATGGAAAATGTTACTACATTTTGACAAAATATTTACTAACAAAACAGTAATAATGCAGTGGGCAAGTAAAATTTGATTAAATGCATTAGTAATTACCAAAATCAAGGAAACTTTATTGGCAGTCTGGGCAAAAGAAATCGGCATCTTTATCTACATGTCCTGACACATTCTGCATGCAACCATGCATCACATCCATCACATTGCAACCACAGTTTATAAACTCCAGACATCAAATCCTCTTTCTATGTAGCTAGGCACCCTTTACAAGAGTCCTTCCTCAATTCTGTCTGTTCAACTTTACTCTTCTTTGCAAGTGCCTTTCCTTTGCTTACATTTTCACTTTTGCTGGTTTTACTCTTTTTCTTTAAGTATACTTGCTTAGCTCTGTGTTCTTTTTCTGCAATTTTTTTTTACTTTTTATGCTTAGAGCATTTTGAATGCTCTTCAGCATGTTGCTGTCGCCCCTGAGTATCAGTACTTCGTTTTCATTGGTTCATAAATCGAAAGTTTACTCCTACTCCATCTGCCAGACATTACTGTAATCATTGGATTATCGCCCCTACAAGTTGCTGTTGCTAGTCATTAAATGAAACAACCTTATCAACATTTTCTTCATTACTTGTACATCAAGAAAACGTTTTGTGTTGTGTATTAATGATAATCAGACATCAAAATTTGTACGTACAATGACAAAGACTCACGTTTATGGTGGAAAATTTAGAGTAGCATAAAATTTTGACGAAAACAGCCGGGGTGCTCAGTGCTGCTGGACCCTGAAAGAAGACGGCGGGTAATTTATGTAGGTAAGTATCACTATATATATACACATATGTAAGCTGAATTTATAGTCAATACTTATACTGAACTAGCAATTGCATTTTTTGCAACAATTCATTTGAAATGAGCCATCGCATGTATTGAATTTAGGCTCGACGGCGACGCGCCGCTGGGCACTGCCGCCATGGCACTTTTTTTTTCAAAATATTTTCAAGACTTTTTCCTTTGAAGCAGTATGCATTTGAAAAATGTTATGTAAGCATCTAGCACATTTTTGTTGCTTCCGTAAAGTATTTCATTATTTTGAAATGGATTTATTTTTTAATGATCGTTTCATAATGGTCTCGTCGCAGTCACTTCTGTCAGTGGCCCAACAGATCGGAAATTAAACCAAAAAAACTTATCCGTAATATTGTACTGTACAACTAACGCTACCGTGAAAAGATCTAGGAAACTTTCTGTGTAATATATCAATTTTACTTTAAAATATCGGTCACTGTCCTTGCTTTTGTAGATCTAGCTCTTTCAAATTTCTGATCGGAGATAATTTATAAGTACCCCAAGTCCAGGGTATGAAATCGTACGGTAACTCTACAGCTATGCCAATTGTAAGGTTTACATGTGAAGTAAATATATATAGTTTTAGCTTAAATTTAGTTTCTGTCTTTCCGACATGATGTCTCGTTGATTCTGTTGAAGAGTGATGCATGTGAACGATTACAATATGAAGATTGGGAATAATGAAGATGTTAATTAACATCTGAATCCCGGAAAGTGTTTTAATGAAGATTAGGATATACCTAACAAAATGTTAGGTCCCAGTGTTAATGTGTAAAGTGTATGGTCCCAGTGTGAATTTGTTAAGTGTAATTGGTACAATTCTTATTATGCCTGAATAGTATTTGTTCATCTCAGAAATTATGTCGACTGCGTCCACTTTCAGTTCAACACTTTTGATTCATCAATTTTACCCAGCCCTAGGCTCAATATTTGTCATTAATTGTCGACTGGTTTTTTTTAGCGTTTTAGAGTTTTGTTTCCATGGTGAATGGAATGAAATGGGATAAATAGTCTAACCAATACCCCTCGAGAGCTAATTAAGACATTGCAGTATTATCACTTTGGGCCTTATTAAAAGTCAAGTTGAAACTTTAAGAAACTCAAGTGACCGTAGGTACTACAATAAGATGTCAATAATCAATGAAATTGATTGAGAGGACATTTTCACATTTTTAACATTTTACAGTTAACCAGGCTTTGTAGTGGTTTGTTCAGAACTGTAGTTCTGGTTAAGTAACCATTAATTATGTCCTTTCAGTTACGATGACATACATTTTTGAAATACCTCTACTGTAGCTAAATGTGGCATTTGTAATAGACAGCCAAAGTTAATTTTGTGATAGACGTAGCCAAAGTTAATTTTAGGATCAGATAGGACAGCTACTGTTTGTAACAGGTATGGGTTCAATTACATGATGATGTAATGAATTAAATTACAATTACATTATGAAAATGGCATTGCCATTACATGACGGTCCAATGTAATTAATTAAATTACACATTACTTTTCAAGTCAAAATGATTTTTGAAATACCAACATCAAAATAAAGTATCATACTGCACAGCTTTATCACACAAATTTAACTTTATGATTCAATCTCTGTATGACCATGGTCAAGATATTATTAGTTTGCTAGCTGTCCATCGCTTAATAATTTGACATTCCTGAACGTCAAAATAATTAGAATATATTTAATATAGACTCCTATTGGGAAGTTCAAGACTATAAGTTTATACAGAAGTGTATATTTCTTGCACATAATCATAGCAATAAAGAAATATAGTTATTTATTTCCCTTACTCTCTTTCAGCAGGTGGATGCCCCTGAAGAAATGAAATCTGGAATGGTAGAATGTATCTTTATTGATTCCTCTAACTTGGAATTGGCCATTGTGACCAACAATGGATTTGAGGACCTTATGATGGAGAAAAACGTCCTTTCCGACCTCCAATTAGATGTTGAAGATGATAAATCACTTGAGGAGATGTTACCTTTTAAGGTCACAGTACTCTTTAAAGGCGGCAATATATTTACCATCACAAAAGAAGAATCAACAAATCGCGGAAACTAAAAAAAATGTGGAAAAGATCATTGTATACTGCATTTGTAGTAAATTTGTATACACTTTTCAATTGACTTGAGTAGAAAGATTCACTAGTTATACCAAGTTTGTGTAGAAAGGATCACTGTATACTGAGATTGTAGTGTACATAGAAAGGTTTTCTTAGTTTTTTTCTGTTTTTAGTGTATACAATATAAAAAAAAACTTTTTGTAGAAAATATCACCGCATACTGAGTTTGTTGTTTACAAATGTGTAGAAAAGATCGCTGTATACAGAGTTCATAGTTTACAATTGTCGAGAAAAATCACTGTATACTGAACATAATACGACTTCTGTTTAAAACCTTCATTTAAACTTAGACATGTATCTTTTTTTTATTTATCTTAAAAGTCTACCTACAACAATTTTGTGTATGCAATCTTGCACTAGGATATTGACATGACAAGATTACATGGAAAGAATACTGAATAACGAAAACAAGATATAAGCATCTTTATCATGTTGGGACATGTATTACACAAGTAATACTACTATGCTTGTTATTTCTGATATCTGCTGGTCATTTTTTATGGGCTGCAATGATTTACTGCTTGCATATAATTTTTTAATGGTCTTAGCATACCAGTACTTTGATTTATGGGCTGCAATGATTTACTGCTTGCATATAGTTGGTTTCAGTATATAGCAAGCTAATAACAAAGAATTTATTTTTTAATGGTCTTAGCATACCAGTACTTTCAGTACTTTGATTCAATTTGTTTCAGGGACATTATTCGAATGCAGTCTGGTGAAGAGAGATTGTCTGGCAAGCAGTGAAGTAATGTATTTCGAAAAGGTTTCATACCTTCATGCGCCTTAGGAAAAACTAAAGCCTCACTTAATGCTGGTGAAATCTGTATCGAACTGGACTGTTCATCAATTAATGGCATGGCATTATCTGCCTCTGATGTACTAGGATTACCTGACTGAACTGCCACCTGGCTAATATTTCTAATCCACTTCTCTCTGTCTGACTTTCTGTTGCCTCACAAGTACTGATTGGATTTGCTTTCTGGTTTAGTTTTTTTAAAAACATCAAAACTGGGACTGTCCTTCAATGTCATATCCTTCTGAGAGTCGCGTTTTATACCTCTCGCGCACTGGAGTAGACAAGGTTTCCTGAAAAACTTCAAGTGCTCCCTTTGCCTTTATTTGTTCAGGACATTTCTCAACAACCTCTACTCCTTTGTTCTTAGCTGACTTGTCATCAGAGAATGTCGGTCCAGGCTTTAAGCTTTCTCTTGAGATGACTGCTATCCACAGGGTAAATACCTGATGACTTAAAGGCATTGATAACAGTCAGTGGTTTATAAAAGTTCAGGAAAGCCTCTGTTAACTTCTGTGCAAATATCTCCTTCCCAATGGTTCTACCAGGGTTTTCACGGGCATATTTCCTAGCTACCAAGTGCCATTTTGATTTCAAGGGATCAAAAACACCTTTATCCAGGGGCTGCATTAAGTGTGTAGCATTGGGGACAATGCGATACAGCTCAATCCCCCTTTCCTTTGCTTTCATGAACACTTCCTGGCTAATGTGACTTCCGACCTTGTCTAACAGAAGCACAACAGGTCGCTCAGTGCCAGCAAACTTATTGAAGTGGTCAGTAAAATGAGAAAATATGCCATCCATCCAGTCTTTCTTAGTGTAGGCAATACTGCTTCCCTCTGCAGCTCCAGTCAGTGGCATATATGCTCGTGGTTTAAGCTCTGGATAAACGAAAAATGGTGGCATTATTTGTCTTGCATCATTCCCACAGTACATCACTGTCAGACACTGTTTACCTGCAGTGATTTGAGGACAGGTAAGTCCTTCCGAGAGGGCCCAATAACTTGCATTTATTTGCACCCATATTAAACCCAGTTTCGTCAGCGTTCCAAATACAATCAGGTTTTTCCAGGCATCGTATAATCTGAAATAAAGGAGTATAAGTATACAATATTTATTTGTCATTACATCATCATAGACCTATTACAATAAATTGTAAGCTAAATAATTATTTCAATAAAGAAAATTTCAGACAGTGATCGTTTCTAATTGCATTTTAATTAATACCTGTGACTTTCTATTTGGGAATATAAGCGTCAGATATTTAAAGAAAAATGAAAAATTGGGAAATATATTATAAAGTAATGAAATTGGCTTAGATTATTAAATAAACAATAAAATTGTAATGTTTTATGTTCTTGAACATGTACAAATAAATGAAATCTATTAGAATTATATTTGATCTATTACTGCATTTGCAAAACGAAGTATTTTATTTGGTAAAATTTGTCATTATTTGGTCGGGGGTTAAACAGAATTTTAAAAACACTAACATTTTTTAAGCTCATTTACACAATTTCATTTGTTCATCTTACCCATTCATTAAAATATGATTATAAAGCACTTTGAAATATTTAATATTAATAATGGAACAGCCCTTTTAGCACCTATTGCATGTAAATCAGGTGACCTAGTTTTGAGATGGCTCTATATTTTCAAAAATCAAATGTGGGGCAATCAGTCAATCGCATCTATGGAGAAAGTCATTTATTTTTAGTACTTATTTGTGTACAAACCAACTAAGTGTCAAACATTTTCTGAAAATGCGGAATCGTTTTGAGAAAGTCCCTTTCGAGATAATGGTGTGATCCGTTATTGGACAAGTATATTGCAGTTTAGTTACATAGAGCTATTAAAACAATCTCGATCATTGAAAGTGTTGATGCTGCACATAGTCGATATAAAGAGGATCAAATAATACCAATTCTGTTGCAATTTCGTGAGTATTTTTGGAATTATCCACCGCTGATTTCTATTTTCCTTTCAGAACGAGGCTTAGCATCCCGGTCAGTGAAATTGGTTGGTAAAGCGTCTGAATTATTTTGATTATAATAAACCGGATTTTTTCAATTTCTTTTTTTCTGACAATTAGTTAAATGCACATTGTACACGAATATCAAGATAAAACAATTTAATGCTCACTACTTTTATAGAATTGTCTAATGGAATTACTAAGTGATCTGCTATTGCCTAACCAACTGTACATACAATTACTATGAACACCACAAAACCACCAAGCAGTATGAGATACAACCTGATAGATAAAGTGTCATAATTTTGATATTGAAAAAAATTTCATCTACACACTCAAAACAACAAATAACATAGTTATTCAATTAGGAAAAAGCTACACTTGTGTTCATAACATCATGCATGGACAGATTCTAAATAATACTACAAGAATACTGTCTGGCTCCCTGCAGTTATGAAAGGAAAATTTGTATTGAAAGGCATTGCAAAACTTACCTTAAGCTATGCATCTCCCCGGGGATGGAAGGGAGGGAGGGAGGAGATAACTCAAAGGGACTTATCAGAGTTATGAGGTTATGTCCACCCAAAATACAATTTAATATAAATTTTCACTTTGGTTATCGCTTACTCATGTTAATAAAGCAACAGATACCAAACTGACTGGGCTGATACATTTATTAGGTTATTGTTATGTTCTTCACCGAGACAACTAACACAACACCAGGACCAGATGGGTACTCCAAATATGTGGTTTTATTACCCATCATGCAATACGACATTACGTAATTCCAACTACCGACATAGTGTCCGTCAGCATCTGTAACCGATACGCTACAGAGCATTAACAACTGATGGTACATATAATATACAGAAACACTACATCCCTCCACCCACAGTGAAGACATTCACCGATTGTGAGATGCTGTTCTCTTGAAATTGAAGGGAATTATTAACTCTTGAACCAAAAACTCTTGCACAGATAGAGTGCATCAATAAACAGTCAATAATGCGCGACACCAACACTGACCACTTAAGTTTACCAAGTTCATAGAACACAATTCATTCTTACTTAAAGTGTACATTTAATGGCAATGTTTTTAGATATAAATATTCTGTCATGTTAAGCGAAATAAATGTCTTTAACGGCGTTGCTGAGATATCGCTGTTTAAACTTCCCGGTTTGCACCTGTCACACACAAGCCCATTAGCGATTAGCCGCAACACCTGGATTTCCGCCTGGATTAGTGTGACGTCATAAGTGTGAAACTACAGAAAATGACTGCCGCGTATTTCGATTGTACAAACACCAGCTCGGAAGGATATTCTCCAAACAAAGATGACGACTGCGATTTGGATATACAGTTTGAGACATCACACTACGAACCAGAGGAAGTCAACAGAATCAAGCCGTATCAGTTTGAACCTGAATTTGAGGATATACAGTCATGAAATGAGACATCATTCACTGGAATGGTAATAATTAATATAAAACCATGAGTATGCATTTATTTTTATGCCGTTGTGTCGATATATGCATATTTGATAAGTTTCATAGATGTCATCTAATATAGTGAATTATTTGCTTCTGCACATGTACATCAAAATATTGTGTACATATTTTACAATTCGTATTCTGTAATCGGCCATGTCTGGTCAGCTTGTGTTTTTGGTTTCCATTTCATGAGCTATATAGATTCAAACATGCTGGTCTATGTATGTTTTTTGTTCTCAAAAATTCGGGGAGTTGATTATTGTTTCTTATAATTTTTTGGGGTAAGAAAGTTGGTCAATGTCGTGAAGGCTCTTTATCAATATTCTGAGATGAAAAGTTTTCTTGATCATGACAAATGGACGACAGGGACTGATTTGACCATGAGTATTATACTTATACTATATGTAGGTAGTTAGATAGGGGCATACATACACAGGTTCCAGATTAATGAAGCACCCTTGCTTTGCTGGATCAATTTCTAAACATTCTAGATTTGTGGTTAATCTGCTGACACTGTAATCCATATGTTGTAATTACTAGACACCAGAAATACCTACCATCCATGGGTATGGTGTTATTAAATAATGTCATCTTGAAGGATGCTGAAGTATCACTATATATCTGAAACAGAAAAGTGAATATTTCCATTGAGTGCCCCAACTGGTAATCCAACCCAGGTAGCCAACTAGCTGGTGTGACAACCAACGGTTCTGAGCCAAAGAAGCTTTCTGCTAGCTCTGTCATTGAGTGATGCTGTATTTAATAGATCTATACATTATGCCAAGTTGACCAACCCATTCCTATTACAAATTTATACCATAAAAGATTAAAGGGGCTTTTTGTTTATGTTTTTGAATAGGTGTGACTGTCGCTGCTGCACAATACTGCCCACCATAGCGGAGAACAGGTGTTGTGAGGAGTTGGCCAGAGCAAGAGAGACCAGAGATGACAACAAGTCCGCTGCATTACAGAACATTGGGATTCAGGGGTGTATGCCTGGACATCTACGTTCTACTGATGTACTACCAGTACAGAGTACTGCATGGGGAAATTCCTGAATCACCCGAGTATGTCAAAAGTGAAATAATTTTATTCACAATAAACAATAGATTATAATTCTTCATATTTATTTACAATGATTGAAAATAAGAACATGGATACATCCATTATAATCATAAATGTACACCAGTATATATACAATGATTTCCCTTTTCATATGAAATATATTACATTTCACCAGTGTGGCCAATTTTAAAATTTTTAGCCCACCATCTGCAAAGTCACACTCACTTGTAATTTGTACTGGTATTATCAGTAATGAGGAAATATTTAATTTTCTGTTTTTGGCATCTGCTGATATCTTTTGTGATAATAAATTTAAATTTAAACTACCATTTTTTATAAAGTTTGTTTCAATATGACTATGGTCCATATATCTACATTTTTCTTTATATTGTCTGTCCAAATTATGGTATTATGATATAGCAATATGTATTAATCAAACCATTAAAAAGGATGTAATTTTATATATACCAATATCTTAAAAATAAAACAATGTAGTGTCGGTAGCCGTGAATAAACTAAAGATGCCCCAAATTGCATCTACCCTGGAAACCATCCCAAAACACCCTGGCTTCGTTCCCTCATCTTTACTATCATAACTGATGACGTAATACACAACAAGGGGAATAACTCCCTAGACAAACAGCATAACGCCTACAATCAATGTTACAGATATACAGCATATTGACAGTTTGTTCGTTGGTGTTGGGGATATTTAGGAAAGACCATTAGTGTTCCTCTGCCATCATGTGCTGTTTCTAAGATCAGGGAAACCTTCCCATCACTAGATGGAGAATACAAGGGATTCAACTGCCATTCAGATTGAAACGGGAATCCAACCGCTGCTGCACTGCATCCTATCCTCATTGATTGGTCTAACAAATGAACTACACAACGCTGGAGGTGTTACGGTTAAGATGTCTTTTTTGGACGCTTTCAAGGAAGTTTCCTCCACCGTGCTCATCACACTGTCCGTCAAACTCTGTACATAACCTGAACAGACAAAAAGTCTTTATGAATTATTATAGTCAACACTTGTAATGAGTTAAATATGAAGTTTCATGGGGCGTGTTGCTCAATCACATTATTTCATGTACGATTGAAAGTTGATTACAGGACACCTGTCTATAGAAGTAACTGCAGCAATGTGCCTTGGAAGTCTCATATTTGATCGGAAAGTTTGTGTGTAATGAGAATGTGCAGTCTACATTGTCATTAAAGCTTATTAGTTTATATTTTATACACAAGCCGATTGGGTTTTTTTTCCCTTATATATTGCAATGGAAATCAAGTGTAAACTAATCTTCTGGGCAATTAATGAAATTTAAATAGCTTACATGTATTTGCCATTTTATGTCATATGAAAGCAGAATTTTATGAT